ATGTTCCGCTAATCCTACTGGAATTTCTCTTGCACCAATGTAATCCTCAACCCGTGACTATCCTCTGGACAAACAATGGTCCCCATAGGACGCCGTTTAAGCCCAGTTTCGATCAATTCACCTATGTTCCGCTAATCCTACTGGAATTTATCTTGCACCAATGTAATCCTCAGGCCGTGACTATCCTCTGGACAAACAATGGTCCCCCCCCATAGGACGCCGTTTCAGCCCAATTTCGATCAATTCACCTATGTTCCGCTAATCCTCCTGCAAATTCTGTTGCACCAATGTAATCCTCAGGCCGTGACTATCCTCTGGACAAAGAATCAGCGTGCACGTAGGAATCCGTTTCACACCAGTTTCGATCAATTCACATATGTTCCGCTAATTCTCCTGGAATTTCTCTTGCACCAATGTAATCCTCAGGCCGTGACTATCCTCTGGACAAACAATGGTCCCCATAGGACGCCGTTTCAGCCCAGCTTCGATCAATTCACCTATGTTCCGCTAATCCTCCTGGAATTTCTCTTGCACCAATGTAATCCTCAGGCCGTGACTATCCTCTGGACAAAGAATCAGCGTGCACGTAGGAATCCGTTTCAGCCCAGCTTCGATCAATTCACCTATGTTCCGCTAATCCTACGGGAATGTATCTTGCACCAATGTAATCCTCAGGCCGTGACTATCCTCTGGACAAACAATGGTCCCCCCCCCCATAGGACGCCGTTTAAGCCCAGTTTCGATCAATTCACCTATGTTCCGCTAATCCTACTGGAATTTCTCTTGCACCAATGTAATCCTCAGGCCGTGACTATCCTCTGGACAAAGAATCAGCGTGCACGTAGGAATCCGTTTCAGACCAGTTTCGATCAATTCACCTATGTTCCGCTAATCCTCCTGGAATTTCTCTTGCACCAATGTAATCATCAGGCCGTGACTATCCTCTGGACAAACAATGGTCCCCATAGGACGCCGTTTCAGCCAGTTTCGATCAATTCACCTATGTTCCGCTAATCCTACTGGAATTTCTCTTGCACCAATGTAATCCTCAGGCCGTGACTATCGTCTGGACAAACAATGGTCCCCCCCCATAGGACGCCGTTTAAGCCCACTTTCGATCAATTCACCTATGTTCCGCTAATCCTACTGGAATTTCTCTTGCACCAATGTAATCCTCAGGCCGTGACTATCGTCTGGACAAACAATGGTCCCCCCCCCCATAGGACGCCGTTTCAGCCCAGTTTCGATCAATTCACCTATGTTCCGCTAATTCTTATGGAATTGCTCTTGCACCAATGTTATCCTCGGGCCGTGACTATCCTCTGGACAAAGAATCAGCGTGCACGTAGGAATCCGTTTCAGCCCAGCTTCGATCAATTCACCTATGTTCCGCTAATCCTACTGGAATTTCTCTTGCACCAATGTAATCCTCAGGCCGTGACTATCCTCTGGACAAAGAATCAGCGTGCACGTAGGAATCCGTTTCAGCCCAGCTTCGATCAATTCACCTTTGTTCCGCTAATCCTACTGGAATTTATCTTGCACCAATGTAATCCTCAGGCCGTGACTATCCTCTGGACAAAGAATCAGCGTGCACGTAGGAATCCGTTTCAGACCAGTTTCGATCAATTCACCTATGTTCCGCTAATCCTACTGGAATTTCTCTTGCACCAATGTAATCCTCAGGCCGTGACTATCCTCTGGACAAACAATGGTCCCCATAGGACGCCGTTTAAGCCCAGTTTCGATCAATTCACCTATGTTCCGCTAATCCTACTGGAATTTCTCTTGCACCAATGTAATCCTCAGGCCGTGACTATCCTCTGGACAAACAATGGTCCCCATAGGACGCCGTTTCAGCCCAGTTTCGATCAATTCACCTATGTTCCGCTAATCCTACTGGAATTTCTCTTGCACCAATGTAATCCTCAGGCCGTGACTATCCTCTCGACAAACAATGGTCCCCATAGGACGCCGTTTCAGCCCAGCTTCGATCAATTCACCTATGTTCCGCTAATCCTACGGGAATTTATCTTGCACCAATGTAATCCTCAGGCCGTGACTATCCTCTGGACAAACAATGGTCCCCATAGGACGCCGTTTAAGCCCAGTTTCGATCAATTCACCTATGTTCCGCTAATCCTACTGGAATTTGTCTTGCACCAATGTAATCCTCAGGCCGTGACTATCCTCTGGACAAAGAATCAGCGTGCACGTAGGAATCCGTTTCAGACCAGTTTCGATCAATTCACCTATGTTCCGCTAATCCTCCTGGAATTTCTCTTGCACCAATGTAATCCTCAGGCCGTGACTATCCTCTGGACAAACAATGGTCCCCCCCCATAGGACGCCGTTTAAGCCCACTTTCGATCAATTCACCTATGTTCCGCTAATCCTACTGGAATTTCTCTTGCACCAATGTAATCCTCAGGCCGTGACTATCCTCTGGACAATCAATGGTCCCCCCCCCCCCATAGGACGCCGTTTCAGCCCAGTTTCGATCAATTCACCTGTGTTCCGCTAATCCTACTGGAATTTCTCTCGCACCAATGTAATCCTCAGGCCGTGACTATCCTCTGGACAAAAAATCAGCGTGCACGTAGGAATCCGTTTCAGACCAGTTTCGATCAATTCACCTATGTTCCGCTAATCCTACTGGAATTTCTCTTGCACCAATGTAATCCTCAGGCCGTGACTATCCTCTGGACAAAGAATCAGCGTGCACGTAGGAATCCGTTTCAGACCAGTTTCGATCAATTCACCTATGTTCCGCTAATCCTACTGGAATTTATCTTGCACCAATGTAATCCTCAGGCCGTGACTATCCTCTGGACAAAGAATCAGCGTGCACGTAGGAATCCGTTTCAGCCCAGCTTCGATCAATTCACCTTTGTTCCGCTAATCCTCCTGGAATTTCTCTTGCACCAATGTAATCCTCAGGCCGTGACTATCCTCTGGACAAAGAATCAGCGTGCACGTAGGAATCCGTTTCAGACCAGTTTCGATCAATTCACCTATGTTCCGCTAATCCTACTGGAATTTCTCTTGCACCAATGTAATCCTCAGGCCGTGACTATCCTCTGGACAAACAATGGTCCCCATAGGACGCCGTTTAAGCCCAGTTTCGATCAATTCACCTATGTTCCGCTAATCCTACTGGAATTTCTCTTGCACCAATGCAATCCTCAGGCCGTGACTATCCTCTGGACAAACAATGGTCCCCATAGGACGCCGTTTCAGCCCAGTTTCGATCAATTCACCTATGTTCCGCTAATCCTACTGGAATTTATCTTGCACCAATGTAATCATCAGGCCGTGACTATCCTCTGGACAAACAATGGTCCCCCCCCATAGGACGCCGTTTGAGCCCAGCTTCGATCAATTCACCTATGTTCCGCTAATCCTACGGGAATTTATCTTGCACCAATGTAATCCTCAGGCCGTGACTATCCTCTGGACAAAGAATCAGCGTGCACGTAGGAATCCGTTTCAGACCAGTTTCGATCAATTCACCTATGTTCCGCTAATCCTCCTGGAATTTCTCTTGCACCAATGTAATCCTCAGGCCGTGACTATCCTCTGGACAAACAATGGTCCCCCCCCATAGGACGCCGTTTAAGCCCACTTTCGATCAATTCACCTATGTTCCGCTAATCCTACTGGAATTTCTCTTGCACCAATGTAATCCTCAGGCCGTGACTATCCTCTGGACAATCAATGGTCCCCCCCCCCCCATAGGACGCCGTTTCAGCCCAGTTTCGATCAATTCACCTGTGTTCCGCTAATCCTACTGGAATTTCTCTCGCACCAATGTAATCCTCAGGCCGTGACTATCCTCTGGACAAAAAATCAGCGTGCACGTAGGAATCCGTTTCAGACCAGTTTCGATCAATTCACCTATGTTCCGCTAATCCTACTGGAATTTCTCTTGCACCAATGTAATCCTCAGGCCGTGACTATCCTCTGGACAAAGAATCAGCGTGCACGTAGGAATCCGTTTCAGACCAGTTTCGATCAATTCACCTATGTTCCGCTAATCCTACTGGAATTTATCTTGCACCAATGTAATCCTCAGGCCGTGACTATCCTCTGGACAAAGAATCAGCGTGCACGTAGGAATCCGTTTCAGCCCAGCTTCGATCAATTCACCTTTGTTCCGCTAATCCTCCTGGAATTTCTCTTGCACCAATGTAATCCTCAGGCCGTGACTATCCTCTGGACAAAGAATCAGCGTGCACGTAGGAATCCGTTTCAGACCAGTTTCGATCAATTCACCTATGTTCCGCTAATCCTACTGGAATTTCTCTTGCACCAATGTAATCCTCAGGCCGTGACTATCCTCTGGACAAACAATGGTCCCCATAGGACGCCGTTTAAGCCCAGTTTCGATCAATTCACCTATGTTCCGCTAATCCTACTGGAATTTCTCTTGCACCAATGCAATCCTCAGGCCGTGACTATCCTCTGGACAAACAATGGTCCCCCCCCCCAATAGGACGCCGTTTAAGCCCAGTTTCGATCAATTCACCTATGTTCCGCTAATCCTACTGGAATTTATCTTGCACCAATGTAATCATCAGGCCGTGACTATCCTCTGGACAAACAATGGTCCCCCCCCCATAGGACGCCGTTTGAGCCCAGCTTCGATCAATTCATCTATGTTCCGCTAATCCTACTGGAATTTGTCTTGCACCAATGTAATCCTCAGGCCGTGACTATCCTCTGGACAAAGAATCAGCGTGCACGTAGGAATCCGTTTCAGACCAGTTTCGATCAATTCACCTATGTTCCGCTAATCCTCCTGGAATTTCTCTTGCACCAATGTAATCCTCAGGCCGTGACTATCCTCTGGACAAACAATGGTCCCCATAGGACGCCGTTTCAGCCAGTTTCGATCAATTCACCTATGTTCCGCTAATCCTACTGGAATTTCTCTTGCACCAATGTAATCATCAGGCCGTGACTATCCTCTGGACAATCAATGGTCCCCCCCCCCATAGGACGCCGTTTCAGCCCAGTTTCGATCAATTCACCTGTGTTCCGCTAATCCTACTGGAATTTCTCTTGCACCAATGTAATCCTCAGGCCGTGACTATCCTCTGGACAAAAAATCAGCGTGCACGTAGGAATCCGTTTCAGACCAGTTTCGATCAATTCACCTATGTTCCGCTAATCCTACTGGAATTTCTCTTGCACCAATGTAATCCTCAGGCCGTGACTATCCTCTGGACAAAGAATCAGCGTGCACGTAGGAATCCGTTTCAGACCAGTTTCGATCAATTCACCTATGTTCCGCTAATCCTACTGGAATTTCTCTTGCACCAATGTAATCCTCAGGCCGTGACTATCCTCTGGACAAAGAATCAGCGTGCACGTAGGATTCCGTTTCAGCCCAGCTTCGATCAATTCACCTATGTTCCGCTAATCCTACTGGAATTTCTCTTGCACCAATCTAATCATCAGGCCGTGACTATCCTCTGGACAAACAATGGTCCCGCCCCCCATAGGAAGCCGTTTAAGCCCACTTTCGATCAATTCACCTATGTTCCGCTAATCATACTGGAATTCCACCTGCACCAATGTAATCCTCAGGCCGTGACTATCCTCTGGACAAAGAATCAGCGCGCACGTAGGAATCCGTTTCAGACCAGTTTCGATCAATTCACCTATGTTCCGCTAATCCTACTGGAATTTCTCTTGCACCAATGTAATCATCAGGCCGTGACTATCCTCTGGACAAACAATGGTCCCCATAGGACGCCGTTTCAGCCCAGTTTCGATCAATTCACCTATGTTCCGCTAATCATACTGGAATTTCTCTTGCACCAATGTAATCCTCAGGCCGTGACTCTCCTCTGGACAAACAATGGTCCCCATAGGACGCCGATTAAGCCCAGTTTCGATCAACTCACCTATGTTCCGCTAATCCTACTGGAATTTATCTTGCACCAATGTAATCCTCAGGCCGTGACTATCCTCTGGACAAAGAATCAGCGTGCACGTTGGAATCCGTTTCAGCCCAGCTTCGATCAATTCACCTATGTTCCGCTAATCATACTGGAATTTCTCTTGCACCAATGTAATCCTCAGGCCGTGACTATCCTCTGGACAAACAATGGTCCCCATAGGACGCCGATTAAGCCCAGTTTCGATCAACTCACCTATGTTCCGCTAATCCTACTGGAATTTCTCTTGCACCAATGTAATCCTCAGGCCGTGACTATCCTCTGGACAAAGAATCAGCGTGCACGTAGGAATCCGTTTCAGACCAGTTTCGATCAATTCACCTATGTTCCGCTAATCCTACTGGAATTTCTCTTGCACCAATGTAATCCTCAGGCCGTGACTATCCTCTGGACAAACAATGGTCCCCATAGGACGCCGTTTCAGCCCAGCTTCGATCAATTCACCTATGTTCCGCTAATCCTACTGGAATTTCTCTTGCACCAATGTAATCCTCAGGCCGTGACTATCCTCTGGACACACAATGGTCCCCATAGGACGCCGTTTAAGCCCAGTTTCGATCAATTCACCTATGTTCCGCTGATTTTACTTGAATTTCTCTTGCATCAGTGTAATCCTCAGGCCGTGACTATCCTCCGGACAAACAATGATCCACATAGGACGCCGTTTAAGCCCAGTTTCGATCAATTCACCTATGTTCCGCTAATCCTACTGGAACTTATCTTGCACCAATGTAATCCTCAGGCCGTGACTATCCTCTGGACAAAGAATCAGCGTGCACGTAGGAATCCGTTTCAGACCAGTTTCGGTCAATTCACCTATGTTCCGCTAATCCTACTGGAATTTCTCTTGCACCAATCTAATCCTCAGGCCGTGACTATCCTCTGGACAAACAATGGTCCCCCCCCCCATAGGACGCCGTTTCAGCCCTGTTTCGATCAATTCACCTATGTTCCGCTAATCCTACTGGAATTTCTCTTGCACCAATGTAATCATCAGGCCGTGACTATCCTCTGGACAAAGAATCAGCGTGCACGTTGGAATCCGTTTCAGACCAGTTTCGATCAATTCACCTATGTTCCGCTAATCCTACTGGAATGTCTCTTGCACCAATGTAATCCTCAGGCCGTGACTATCCTCTGGACAAAGAATCAGCGTGCACGTAGGAATCCGTTTCAGACCAGTTTCGATCAATTCACCTATGTTCCGCTAATCCTACTGGAATTTCTCTTGCACCAATGTAATCTTCAGGCCGTGACTATCCTCTGGACAAAGAATCAGCGTGCACGTAGGAATCCGTTGCAGACCAGTTTCGATCAATTCACCTATGTTCCGCTAATCCTACTGGAATTTCTCTTGCACCAATGCAATCCTCAGGCCGTGACTATCCTCTGGACAAACAATGGTCCCCATAGGACGCCGTTTCAGCCAGTTTCGATCAATTCACCTATGTTCCGCTAATCCTACTGGAATTTCTCTTGCACCAATGCAATCCTCAGGCCGTGACTATCCTCTGGACAAACAATGGTCCCCATAGGACGCCGTTTCAGCCAGTTTCGATCAATTCACCTATGTTCCGCTAATCCTACTGGAATTTCTCCCGCACCAATGTAATCATCAGGCCGTGACTATCCTCTGGACAAACAATGGTCCCCCCTCCCATAGGACGCCGTTTAAGCCCAGTTTCGATCAATTCACCTATGTTCCGCTAATCCTACTGGAATTTCTCTGGCGTCAATGTAATCCTCAGGCCGTGACTATCCTCTGGACAAAGAATCAGCGTGCACGTAGGAATCCGTTTCAGACCAGTTTCGATCAATTCACCTATGTTCCGCTAATCCTACTGGAATTCATCTTGCACCAATGTAATCCTCAGGCCGTGACTATCCTCTGGACAAACAATGGTCCCCATAGGACGCCGTTTCAGCCCAGTTTCGATCAACTCACCTATGTTCCGCTAATCCTACTGGAAGTTGTCTTGCACCAATGTAATCCTCAGGCCTTGACTATCCTCTGGACAAAGAATCAGCGTGCACGTAGGAATCCGTTTCAGACCAGTTTCGATCAATTCACCTATGTTCCGCTAATCCTACTGGAATTTCTCTTGCACCAATGTAATCCTCAGGCCGTGACTATCCTCTGGACAAACAATGGTCCCCATAGGACGCCGTTTTAGCCCAGTTTCGATCAATTCACCTATGTTCCGCTAATCCTACTGGAATTCATCTTGCACCAATGTAATCCCCAGGCCGTGACTATCCTCTGGACAAACAATGGTCCCCATAGGACGCCGTTTCAGCCCAGTTTCGATCAACTCACCTATGTTCCGCTAATCCTACTGGAAGATGTCTTGCACCAATGTAATCCTCAGGCCGTGACTATCCTCTGGACAAAGAATCAGCGTGCACGTAGGAATCCGTTTCAGCCCAGTTTCGATCAATTCACCTATGTTCCGCTAATCCTCCTGGAATTTCTCTTGCACAAATGTGATCCTCAGGCCGTGACTATCCTCTGGACAAAGAATCAGCGTGCACGTAGGAATCCGTTTCAGCCCAGTTTCGATCAATTCACCTATGTTCCGCTAATCCTACTGGAATTTCTCTTGCACCAATGTAATCATCAGGCCGTGACTATCCTCTGGACAAAGAATCGGCGTGCACGTTGGAATCCGTTTCAGCCAGTTTCGATCAATTCACCTATGTTCCGCTAATCATACTGGAATTTCTCTTGCACCAATGTAATCCTCAGGCCGTGACTATCCTCTGGACAAACAATGGTCCCGATAGGACGCCGTTTCAGCCCAGTTTCGATCACTTCACCTATGTTCCGCTAATCCTACTGGAATTGCTCTTGCACCAATGTTATCCTCAGGCCGTGAATATCGTCTGGACAAAGAATCAGCGTGCACGTAGGAATCCGTTTCAGACCAGTTTCGATCAATTCACCTATGTTCCGCTAATCCTCGTGGAATTTCTCTTGCACCAATGTAATCCTCAGGCCGTGACTATCCTCTGGACAAACAATGGCCCCCCCCATAGGACGCCGTTTAAGCCCAGATTCGATCAATTCACCTATGTTCCGCTAATCCTACTGGAATTTCTCTTGCACCAATGTAATTCTCAGGCCGTGAATATCCTCTGGACAAACAATGGTCCACATAAGACGCCGTTTTAGCCCAGTTTCGATCAATTCACCTATGTTCCGCTAATCCTACTGGAATTTATCTTGCACCAATGTTATCCTCAGGCCGTGACTATCCTCTGGACAAACAATGGTGCCCATAGGACGCCGTTTCAGCCCAGTTTCGATCAACTCACCTATGTTCCGCCTATTCTACTGGAAGTTGATTTGCACCAATGTTGTCCTCGGGCCGTGACTATCCTCTGGACAAATAATCAGCGTGCACGTAGGAATCCGTTTCAGCCCAGTTTCGATCAATTCACCTATGTTCCGCTTATCCTACTGGAAGTTGTCTTGCACCAATGTAATCCTCAGGCCGTGACTATCCTCTGGACAAACAATGGTCCTCATAGGACCCCGTTGAGGAACATTTTCGATCAATTCACCTACGTTCCGCTAATCATACTGGAATTTCTCTTGCACCAATGTCATCATCAGGCCGTGACTATCCTCTGGACAAACAATGGTCCCCATAGGACGCCGTTTAAGCCCAGTTTCGATCAATTCACCTATGTTCCGCTAATCCTACTGGAATTTCTCTTGCACCAATGTAATACTCAACCCGTGACTATCCTCTGGACAAAGAATCAGCGTGCACGTAGGAATCCGTTTCAGACCAGTTTCGATCAATTCACCTATGTTCCGCTAATCTTACTGGAATTTCTCTTGCACCAATGTAATCCTCAGGCCGTGACTATCCTCTGGACAAACAATGGTCCCCATAGGACGCCGTTTCAGCCCAGTTTCGATCAACTCACCTATGTTCCGCTAATTCTACTGGAATTTCTCTTGCACCAATGTAATCCTCAGGCCGTGACTATCCTCTGGACAAAGAATCAGCGTGCACGTAGGAATCCGTTTCAGCCCAGTTTCGATCAATTCACCTATGTTCCGCTAATCCTACTGGAACTTATCCTGCACCAATGTAATCCTCAGGCCGTGACTATCCTCTGGACAAACAATGGTCCCCCCCCATAGGACGCCGTTTAAGCCAGTTTCGATCAATTCACCTATGTTCCGCTAATCCTACTGGAATTTCTCTTGCACCAATGTAATCATCAGGCCGTGACTATCCTCTGGACAAACAATGGTCCCCCCCACATAGGACGCCGTTTAAGACCTGTTTCGATCAATTCACCTATGTTCCGCTAATCCTACTGGAATTTCTCTTGCACCAATGTAATCCTCAGGCCGTGACTATCCTCTGGACAAAGAATCAGCGTGCACGTAGAAATCCGTTTCAGACCAGTTTCGATCAATTCACCTATGTTCCGCTAATCCTACTGGAATTTCTCTTGCACCAATGTAATCCTCAGGCCGTGACTATCCTCTGGACAAACAATGGTCCCCATAGGACGCCGTTTCAGCCAGTTTCGATCAATTCACCTATGTTCCGCTAATCCTACTGGAATTGCTCTTGCACCAATGTAATCATCAGGCCGTGACTATCCTCTGGACAAACAATGGTCCCCATAGGACGCCGTTTCAGACCAGTTTCGATCAATTCACCTATGTTCAGCTAATCCTACTGGTAATTCTCTTGCACCAATGTTATCCCCAGGCCGTGACTTTCCTTTGGACAAAGAATCAGCGTGCACGTAGGAATCCGTTTCAGCCCAGCTTCGATCAATTCACCTTTGTTCCGCTAATCCTACTGGAATTTATCTTGCACCAATGTAATCCTCAGGCCGTGACTATCCTCTGGACAAAGAACCAGCGTGCACGTAGGAATCCGTTTCAGACCAGTTTCGATCAATTCACCTATGTTCCGCTAATCCTACTGGAATTTATCTTGCACCAATGTAATCCTCAGGCCGTGACTATCCTCTGGACAAACAATGGTCCCCCCCCCATAGGACGCCGTTTCAGCCCACTTTCGATCAATTCACCTATGTTCCGCTAATCCTACTGGAAGTTGTCTTGCACCAATGTTATCCTCATGCCGTGACGATCCTCTGGACAAAGAATCAGCGTGCACGTAGAAATCCGTTTCAGACCAGTTTCGATCAATTCACCTATGTTCCGCTAATCCTACTGGAATTTCTCTTGCACCAATGTAATCATCAGGCCGTGACTATCCTCTGGACAAACAATGGTCCCCATAGGACGCCGCTTAAGCCCAGTTTCGATCAATTCACCTATGTTCCGCTAATCCTACTGGAATTTCTCTTGCACCAATGTAATCCTCAGGCCGTGACTATCCTCTAAACAAAGAATCAGCGTGCACGTAGGAATCCGTTTCAGCCCAGTTTCGATCAATTCACCTATGTTCCGCTAATCCTACTGGAATTTCTCTTGCACCAATGTAATCCTCAGGCCGTGACTATCCTCTGGACAAACAATGGTCCCCATAGGACGCCGTTTCAGCCCAGTTTCGATCAACTCACCTATGTTCCGCTAATCCTACTGGAAGTTGTCTTGCACCAATGTTAACCTCGGGCCGTGACTATCCTCTGGACAAAGAATCAGCGTGCACGTAGGAATCCGTTTCAGACCAGCTTCGATCAATTCACCTATGTTCCGCTAATCCTACTGGAATTTCTCTTGCACCAATGTAATCCTCAGGCCGTGACTATCCTCTGGACAAAGAATCAGCGTGCAAGTAGGAATCCGTTGCAGACCAGTTTCGATCAATTCACCTATGTTCCGCTAATCCTACTGGAATTTCTCTTGCACCAATGTAATCCTCAGGCCGTGACTATCCTCTGGACAAACAATGGTCCCCATAGGACGCCGTTTCAGCCAGTTTCGATCAATTCACCTATGTTCCGCTAATCCTACTGGAATTTCTCTTGCACCAATGTAATCCTCAGGCCGTGACTATCCTCTGGACAAACAATGGTCCCCATAGGACGCCGTTTCAGCCCAGTTTCGATCAATTCACCTATGTTCCGCTAATCCTACTGGAAGTTGTCTTGCACCAATGTTAACCTCGGGCCGTGACTATCCTCTGGACAAAGAATCAGCGTGCACGTAGGAATCCGTTTCAGCCCAGCTTCGATCAATTCACCTATGTTCCGCTAATCCTACTGGGAATTCTCTTGCACCAATGTTATCATCAGGCCGTGAGTATCGTCTGGACAAAGAATCAGCGTGCACGTAGGAATCCGTTTCAGACCAGTTTCGATCAATTCACCTATGTTCCGCTAATCCTACTGGAATTTCTCTTGCACCAATGTAATCCTCAGGCCGTGACTATCCTCTGGACAAACAATGGTCCCCATAGGACGCCGTTTAAGCCCAGTTTTGATCAATTCACCTATGTTCCGCTAATCCTACTG